TGAACATTTTAGATATACGAATTATACGATTGACGTTAAACTTGATATTGCCGCTTTTCGTGCAAGCCTACTATGATCACGTAATTTTGACGCCAAAAATGAGCGTCGAACGTCAGCATGAAAAGGCACCTTTAATGGTATGATTTCGTGCTGATGCTCGACGGTCATTTTTAGCGTCAAAACAGATCACATGATGAAAATTGATGCTTGGTCAATTTTGATCATGTTATCTGTTTTGACGTTAAAAACGAGCGTCAGTTTGAAAAGGTACCTTAATTTGCGAGATATATTTGAAGATGAGAGATGTCGCGGAAAAAAACAGCATCCAATGAAATTTTTTAAGAAAAAATCCGCATCGAGCGTGAAATTAAATTCGGATCTCTGATAAAAGATACGGTTGAATACCTGTACGTGACTGGTAACGGTCGGTGTTCCTACTCGATTTTCTAATAGCGAATTTGATTTGATGCACTGGTGCATATTAAAGCCATTTACGCTGATTTTATCCGAGCAACAGTGAAATATCTCGAATGATAAAATATCCAATACACATTTTACAAAAGAACACGATAAACTATATTGAGAATTTTGCTGGTTCGACCCATTTATATATGTATATTTAAACGCACATCTTTACGTCGATTTGTATACGACAGCTTTAACGCGCTAGTGCCGTCCAAGTCGAATTCGCTATTAGGCAAGGCGTCTTACGTGAGGATCTGACTTTTCGCGCTGCGTAAATATTTATACGACGCGGCGCTATTAGAACACGCAGAGACGCGCGATCGCCCACACACCCAATTTCGAGACGTTAATGAACGCTCGAAAGAGTAATCGACCTCGTCGGATTAAACTGGACCGGGGATTCTCCTGCATATGATAAAAATATCTGACCTTTCGGCTCCGCGGTTAACGACGGATTCGTTTCTCAGTATCGATCATCATTCGGATAAACGTTAATATTATTGTGTTTCGCTTGTGATCGCACGCGTCACTTTTTTTTTAAAACGTCGATTATCCCCGAAGGCCATCTTTATGTTAATTTATGGATTTTCAATGCCTTTGAAATTATTTCTAAAAGAATTGCCTATTGCGCGATAGCGAACGCTTAGAAGAGCCAATATGTACGTAAAATTATAAGCAAAGATTCGATAATATTGCATAAGCACTTCTGCAAAACTCCGATCCATCTTGCATTATATATAGTGAGAGACTATATCCCTCCATAACGTCTACTATAAATCTTCCCAACATTCAAAAACTGTCACCTGCACGTTCAACTCAACCGCTGGATACGCCCATTTTGCACGCCAAATTCATTTTCGCGGTTTCCTTCAATTTGTCCGCGTCAAATTATGGGATGCTGGATCTCCGCGGCATTTCTGTATAATTTCAACTGGGACACCTTAAAGCGGATCCTTCACTGCATTTTTAAACACCTCGGGATGTATAATTTTTATATACCTATATATATATATATAGTGCTCTACCGTTTAATTTTGAAAAGTTCAGAATACTTTCCAAAGTATTTTTTAATTAATTATTCGCATTTAATAATTATAAAGTTATTAAAAGTTAATGGCTAAGCTTTTTTCTACTTTAAAATTCTATGGAAAATGTATTTCGCAGCAAACGTTGTTGCTTAATGTTAAACTGATTGAATTCTCCGCTAATTTTATTATTCAATAAATAAAAAGATTTCTAACGTTTTTCTTTCTCTTTCTGTTGCAGAATTGCCAGCTGAGGAGGGTGAGTACCAATGAAATTTTCTACGTCGCACGACGTAGAAAACAGGTTTGCGACAGATTGGCATACAAATTATTTTCGATGTGGCAGAACAAGTTTGTAAATCTCACCTTTTTTTTTATATTCCTTTCGCTTCGTTTTTATATTGAGCCGTGACTTTACTGCGTTGTTTCGAGTCTCAGAACGCTAATTTATAATTTATAAGTTTCCAAATTTCTTCTCGCCTGTCTGAACGAATGTTGCCGGTCTTTTGGGACGGGAAGGGGGAGGGGAAAGATTTTTGCCACGTGTCCGTTGTGTCAAAGTAGGTCAACGTGCTTGCCCCTGGCATTCCGTAAGCTTTGGGAATTAGCGTTGCACGCGTTTACGTTGCGTGCCTTCGGAGATTATTCAGAAATCTTACGGTGTCAATTAATCAAAACAAGTGGGATGCAAAAGACGAATGTTCATGGAATGAGTATACTGTTTTTTAATGTGTAGAAAAATAATAAATAAAAAATATGATAAATCCGGAATATAGGAAAATAAATATTTACTCAATACTTTTTACGTTGAATGCTTTTTATATTCGCGCTCTTTGAACGTAACGTCAAACGCATATCTTTTGAGCCTGCATTTTCTCATCGTTTTTCAATCTCTTCGGTAAATTTTTCTTTCCGACTCTATATATACAGATAATTTTTCTATAATTAAAACCGTAATTCTGTAAACGTAATCTGATACAATAGCAGATGATCTTTTTTAAATAAAATGTCCTCGTTCCGAGATGACTTTTACCTACTAAGAGGATTAAACGAGATAGAGAGCAGAGATAAAATGCTCGGTAAAACGTTTTGGATGTAAAATAGCGTAACGGTGGAGAAGGCAATGTATATATCGCGACTGCCATGGGAGAGACTTGCGGGGACCTAGGTACCCGGGCCACTTGGCCCATTTGTCGAAAGACGTCAGCGCGTAACGGCGCCGTACGTCGCCGCCTTCGACTCGGCCGTAATTGCATCGGCATTGCACTCGACCCGCGGCGGATGCTCGCGCTATCTTTCCGCCGACCTTCGACGACGGATCGACCCGGCGTAGTTGCGGCGCGCTCTCGTCATCGACGTTATCGTTATTCGTGACGCGGTGTAGAATAAAAAAAAGAGAGAGAGAGAAGCGAGAGGGAAATTTTCACGATTTTCCAAAAATGCATACCAGATTTCAGCGAATAAAAATCGAACTGCAAAAATTGACTTCGATAAGTCGGAAAGTCTAGTCAGCGGTGAAAGCGTGACAGCTGACGTTGACAATTAGATCGATTGCAGACGTGGAATTTGTATCGCTGCGTAAAACGCCTGTAATGCATTTCAATGTGGATTCCGCTGATAAAGCAATTGCGTAAAAATTAGATCGACGATCGGTGTCGCGTGTTATTAAAACGCATTTCTTTTTTTTTTCTTTTTACGCGAGGCGCAGTACCTCGTCGATTGATGGATCGGTCCTGCCAATAATAAATATTTTCGGCTTTATCGAAGATAAATGGGCGATAAGATAGGCTATGGCGTCATTGAATTAATACCGTTTGAACGCAATGTCCAAGAATCCAAGAAGTTTCTCGTCGATTTCTGATAACGTATAGAAGTTTTTTTCAGCCTGATAACGTGCTTTTCGTTAAGAATGCGATACGCAATTTTTCGTAAAGCTACGGAAGTAATTTTCTTTACACACAAGTGAATAGAGCCATAGACGTCGCCCCTCGCAAGTCAAAATTACCGTCGTTTGAATCAACGATCTTGATCTCGTGGTAATTAGCATTACTCGGCTCTTCAGAAAGTTACATTCGACGTTTTCGGCCGACAAATTGTACACAATTGATCTTTAATGAAGACCGCTTTCTTCGCGGATTTGTATGGCGAGCAAGAGTTCGTGTATATAGAAAATGAGAAGAAGGGACACAACACAATAGGCCGCCTCCCTTGGAGAGCGAACGGGTCGAACGTCAGACACGCTATATTCGTTTCGCCATTATTATCGCATTTTATATAATCCTGAAACGCGTCGGAGGAGAGCGCGATCAAGGTCGTATTAATGAGATTCCTGTCGTAAATTAATCGCGCGGCCGGTTACGGAACGCACAACTGCCTGTAATCGTTGCCGCCGCGCGCGTTCCGTCACACATGTGCACACCCGGTCTCTGTGTGTATATATACGCTACGCTCTATCGGCCGATTGACAACGTCTATTGTCACACGCTGAATCCGGTAATGAAGCATGTTGCACGTATGCACGTGGGTGAGAGAGTGTAAGGGGGGGAGAGACGGGAGAGACGAGAAGAAATGTGCGCGCTGATCTGCAGCACTGTGTGCAATGCGGCACGTCATACCACGATATTAATTTCCGAGACGCGGTGGAATGTGCACTACGATATTACGTGCAATTTATGTAACGAAATGTGTACGTGTAACGTATTTGCGTTACCGGAAGGCGGTATCATACATTGCAAGACAAAAGTGAAGTCTTAATACGCTATATTAATGTCGGGTGTGTATGTGTGTGTGTGTGTGTGTGTAGGAATTATATATGTATATATAATTTATATGTTTATATAAATTATAAAATTAAATTTCATTCTTTTATAATTTATATGTATATAATAATTTATATATAAATATGTATATATAAATTATAAAACAATTAAATTTAATATGCAGAATTAAACGATGATTAAGATTGCGTATATAGTCAATCGATTGAGAATAGACTTACATGGCTTTGTCTTGGAGTGGGTTTTATTAATATACGCAATTTTGATTTCTAAGCAATTATTTTGTACTTATACAATTAACATTAGCTATTCAAATTTTATCAATCCTATGTAATTAAACGTTAAACGTTGCTGATTTTGAGTTGGCGCGATTATGTTAATGCAATATCATGCGGGTGTTTCAACTTTTTGCTAACATAAGTACCTAACTCATTAATTTCTACAATTGATTTCGTTATACATTACTTGATTACGAATGAATTACAATGTAAAACTCCGGTTATTTCTGCGTATTACCTATAATTATTTAGTTTGAGGAAGTCCTTAGAGAATGTTCAGAAATTATTTTTATTGCCGTCTTTTTTTGACTTGCAAATGAATTGTTGCAATTTGCAACTTCTTTTGATATACAGTTTATTTATTAACTTGATGTAATTTTCTTACAAATCAACTATCGTTAGCAGATCTCTTAAAAAATGTTAGACATTGTTACTGCAAAAACTTTTATTTTATTCATTGAAACTCTTTTACTTTGTTGCAATCTCCAAATGTAAGAATTCGTAATGCCATTAAAGAAGAAGTAAAAACATGTGATCTAGTTCAATGAAAGGAGAATGGTACGAGGAAAATGGGAAGAAATGGAGAAAGGGAGCGCTACTTACACACGCAATTGCCGAGCAATCGAATTTTCACGCGTTCTCTTTGGCACGGCTGCTGTAAATTACAATTAATGAAATCGTCAACCGTAGTGCAATGACGTCAATCGCGTGCAGGCAAAAGGCGTCAGCTATCAAGGACGCCCAGGGCCTGCCCCTGACTACTTTATAATTTTTATCCTTTTCCTGATGCATGTACCTGTACCGGAACATGTTTCTTCGATACGACGGTATGTTCGACACGCAAAAATAGGATCTGCTGACGAAAATTTTTCCACACGCTATCAAATTAGCTCCTCGTGTATATCAAACACGTGTTGCTTTTGATTAAACTAGAATCTAGACGAGCACCTATAAACTGTCACATGTTGGAACAACAGATATCGTTGAAAATACAATTTCCTTAATTCTTTAATTGCTTTAGTAAACTGAACGTAAAAATGAATAATTTCGTAACTGCGTAAAAAATAATAACGATTAAATCTGAACTTATAATGCTTATGACACTGAGACCTATGTAAAATATATTTATTGTTCAATATTTTGTATTATAAGATGAGGGACAAAAGAGTTTTTCTTACATTTTATCACAATGATTTCATGATTCTGAAAGAATTTTTTTTCCATAAAATTGTGTCGATGAAATGTATTATTCACGAACGCACATTATGTTGCTAGTAATAATACAAGGTCACATAACAATAAGGTATTGTTGACAATTGCATTCAGTATTGATTTCATCATTGTACACTGATACATGGTTAATGATTTCTCTTTCTTTATTCAGAGCTCTAACATTAATATTCATATGATTATGTATTATATATTATAATACATTGAGTATTTGTATTATTATTATTATTATTGTAAAAAATTAATTTGAGATTTTACAATTGACATAAAGTTCTACAATATAATTTATAATTTTTTTAAGGTTTATGCCAATTTGTCGCAATAATTTTATAGTTAGATATCAGATAGATTAATTTTGCTAAAAATTGTGAAATTAAATTTTAGATGTAAGAATTATTACGAGAAATATTGTTATATTAATCAAAACTCATATTTTCCATATATTTCACGCATTACTGATAATATTTAATTTATTTTTCGATTACAGGAAAATCCATCTGGCAACTCGTCCTGGAACAGTTCGATGACCTTCTAGTTAAGATTCTTCTATTAGCTGCTATTATTTCTTTTGTAAGTATAAGACGCGATATTATATAAAAAAATTATAAATAATATTTTATTTAAGTTAAAATTTAAACGGGTACAAATTTGCGTAACAAATAAACTTCTTTCAAAACCGACGTATCTTCGAAAAAAGTAAAATTTAAAATAATGCAAATTAATCTATTAGTTGGTTGGTATACGTGGTTGGTATTATCATTTGCAATTACGGTTTATGGAAAAAGTTTTATGATTTATTTTTTTAAACAAAAATTATGATAAAGCCAAATGAATTTAAGATGCCCTTTTTCTTGTCGAATTTTCCGGTGCATGCCGCTTCGTTAAAAGCACCGTAATTATATGTTTACGGGGGGTTCAAGGGTAAATGAGGCTAAATATATCATCCATGAGAAGTGAAAAAATAGCATATTGATTTCAAGTAGCCGTGGTGATCTGATTTTCTCTAAGCGCATAAGAGAAATGTGTAACATTCACTATGGAGTTTGATCTATAAATTATGAAAATTAAGTATGTAATTTATCACTACGTTAGATGTGCAATAGTTCTTAGAGAAAAGAAATTTTTTGGCGATACGTATACATGCTTGAAAAATTTATCTTTGATTTTCTAACATATATTTTTTTTATGTATTTTTTTGAAATATGTTGTTGACACCGTTGCTATAAGAGAAAGAAAGAAAATTACTTAGATTTTCTTATTCTTGGGATTTATTTTCTATGGAATTTTAACTGTTAAATTTATTTAAAGGACAATATAAATGAAAGGATATGAAATTATTCAACAATCTATTGAGAATATCCGCTCTTCTAAATTCTTTAAGTTTTTTTTAATCTAATACCTATTTCTCGTCAGGTATTAGCCTTATTTGAAGAGCACGAGGATGCGTTCACGGCCTTCGTCGAACCCTTCGTCATCCTGCTCATCCTCATCGCCAACGCCGTGGTCGGTGTCTGGCAAGAACGAAATGCCGAGTCTGCGATCGAGGCACTCAAGGAGTACGAGCCCGAGATGGGTAAAGTTGTGCGAGGGGACAAATCTGGCGTCCAGAGGATTCGGGCCAAAGAGATCGTGCCCGGCGATATTGTCGAGGTGTCGGTCGGCGACAAGATCCCGGCCGATATCCGTCTGTCCAAGATCTTTTCGACTACTCTCAGGATCGACCAGTCCATTCTGACTGGGGAATCGGTGTCCGTGATCAAGCACACCGACCCTGTGCCCGACCCACGCGCCGTCAATCAGGTAAAGCTGCAGCCGTATAAAAACATTTCCGCTACTTTTTCTCAGGCATCAACTCTCGAGAATCAACGATATATATCTTTGAAATGAAAGTTCATTCGACAAAAAAATTGCAAATCAAAGTATTTCTTCGTGAGACTTGCGTGTAATTCGTTTACGTGACCACTTGATTGTGTAACTCTTGAAAAGGTTGTTAATAAATTCTGTTTTGCTATTCCCCTAGGATAAGAAGAACATCTTGTTCTCTGGTACCAATGTCGCCGCCGGAAAGGCTCGCGGTATCGTTATTGGGACCGGCTTAAACACGGCCATCGGCAAGATCCGCACGGAGATGTCGGAGACTGAGGAGATCAAGACGCCGTTGCAGCAGAAGTTGGACGAGTTCGGTGAACAATTGTCGAAAGTCATCTCCGTGATTTGCGTTGCCGTGTGGGCCATCAACATCGGCCACTTCAACGATCCGGCACACGGTGGTTCCTGGATCAAGGGTGCCATTTACTACTTCAAGATCGCCGTCGCTCTCGCCGTAGCCGCTATTCCCGAAGGCTTGCCCGCTGTCATCACAACTTGCTTGGCCCTGGGCACCAGGCGTATGGCCAAAAAGAACGCCATTGTACGATCATTGCCGTCCGTAGAGACTCTAGGTTGCACGTCCGTCATTTGCTCCGACAAAACGGGCACTCTGACAACTAACCAGATGTCTGTTAGCCGGTAAGCTGATTAAGCAATTATGCTACAACGTAGATTTGTCTCGTGAATTTTCAATAAACGCAAAATAAGAATATTTTCTCTTTTTTCTCTTATATTAAATAAAAACGTTAGTTTGTAATTTTGAATATTTCGATGTTTACAGAATGTTCATCTTTGACAAGATTGAGGGTAACGATAGCAGCTTCCACGAATTCGAGATCACTGGCTCGACTTACGAACCTATCGGCGAAATCTTTTTGAGAGGACAGAAGATTAAGGGACAAGATTATGAAACATTACAGGAGCTCAGTACAATTTGTATTATGTGCAACGATTCTGCCATCGACTTTAACGAGTTCAAGCAGGCATTCGAGAAGGTCGGTGAGGCCACGGAGACCGCTCTCATCGTTCTCGCCGAGAAGATCAATCCGTTCGGAGTCCCGAAGAGTGGTCTGGATCGCCGAGCTGGCGCCATTGTCGTCAGGCAGGATATGGAAACGAAGTGGAAGAAGGAATTCACGCTGGAGTTCTCTCGCGATCGCAAGTCCATGTCGTCGTACTGCGTGCCTCTGAGGTCGTCGAAACTGGGAACTGGACCGAAGCTGTTTGTCAAGGGTGCGCCGGAGGGTGTGCTGGACAGGTGCACGCATTGCCGCGTCGGTGGTCAGAAGGTTCCCCTTACCTCGACCCTGAAGAACCGCATTCTGGATCTGACCCGTCAATACGGAACCGGCAGGGATACCCTGCGCTGCCTCGGTCTCGCCACCGCCGATCACCCGATGAAGCCCGACGATATGGATCTGGGCGACTCCACTAAATTCTACACATACGAAAAGGATCTCACGTTCATAGGTGTGGTGGGCATGCTCGATCCGCCTCGCAAAGAAGTATTCGACTCGATTGTTAGGTGCCGCGCCGCCGGTATTCGCGTAATCGTTATCACCGGCGACAACAAGGCTACTGCCGAAGCCATCTGCCGACGTATCGGAGTCTTCGGCGAGGAGGAAGACACCACCGGCAAGTCGTACTCCGGACGTGAATTTGATGACCTGCCGACGTCGGAGCAGAAGGCGGCGTGCGCCAGGGCTCGTCTCTTCTCTCGCGTAGAACCGGCTCACAAGTCGAAGATCGTGGAATACTTACAAAGCATGAATGAAATTTCTGCTATGGTAAGTCATACTATTTATTCCGTGCTCTATACATTCATTATTATCATCAATGACATTGCAGCACGAGTCAAGCAGCGCTTGATCTCTTGGAGAAAAGCTGTTCTAGATCTTAACCTTTAGTTTTTTTTTTTATATTATTATGGAAAGAACAAGTCCCTTGCTTAATCTCCACTTTGGAGAACAATGGGACAGTATTGCGATTTGTTTAGCACTAAATATACTTCAGTATTTTAATTCTATCATATAAAATACTTTTTCACTTAAAATTCTGAATATTATATACGATTGATGGCAATTCCAAAAATCGAATATTTTGCTTGACAAGCTGCTGCTTTAGCAATGAACCATCCAACATTCTTATTTTAGCATCAATTATGTTAATGTAAAACAAATATTTGCCAATTTAAAGGACTTTATTCAGAGACGATTGCAAAATAATTTTGCATTGTTTTATTCCTACTACAGACTGGTGACGGTGTGAATGACGCTCCTGCCTTGAAGAAGGCTGAAATTGGTATCGCTATGGGCTCTGGTACCGCGGTCGCGAAATCGGCTTCAGAGATGGTGTTGGCGGACGACAATTTCTCTTCCATCGTAGCCGCTGTAGAGGAAGGCCGTGCCATCTACAATAACATGAAACAATTTATCCGTTACCTCATTTCTTCCAACATCGGCGAGGTCGTCAGGTACTTACGAAAATATATGAATGCAATGGAATGCGAAGGATTGAATTCTCATCTCCGTGTTTACTTGTTGCTTTACAGTATATTCTTGACCGCCGCCCTTGGTCTTCCCGAAGCACTGATTCCGGTCCAACTACTGTGGGTCAATTTGGTCACTGATGGTCTTCCAGCTACTGCTCTCGGTTTCAATCCACCCGATTTGGACATTATGAGCAAGGTAATGTAACAATTAAAGAGATGCACCACTGGGTCGTCAAATGCAAGTTTTATTAAATCGTGCGTTTTTTTTGTGTAGCCTCCTCGCAAGGCTGACGAATCTCTGATTTCTGGATGGCTGTTTTTCCGTTACTTGGCTATTGGTGGATATGTAGGCGCTGCCACTGTCGGTTCGGCTGCTTGGTGGTTCATGTACAGTCCGAATGGCCCTCAAATGAACTACTATCAAGTGGTAAGTTGTGACAATAATCTCCATTGTTTTTATTCAGAGTTAGTTGAAGATTTAAATAATTATTCTTTAATTAACATTATTTGCACAAAATATAGACCCATCACTTGGCGTGTGTTGGTGGTGGAAGCGAATTCAAGGGTATTAACTGCAAGATCTTTGCTGATCCTCACCCCATGACTATGGCTCTCTCTGTATTGGTCACTATTGAAATGTTAAACGCCATGAACAGGTGAGAAAGCACTCGCGTAACATATTTTGCATAAGAATCGCGATTGCGGGATTATAATAAAATCTATATTTCTTCGCAGCTTGTCTGAAAATCAATCGCTCATCTCCATGCCGCCTTGGTCCAACATGTGGCTCATTGCATCCATGGCTCTTTCTTTCACACTCCATTTCGTCATCTTGTACGTCGATGTTCTTTCGGTAAGTAAACATTTACATCATGATTACAAAAGCGAATGGCGAATAGAGGGGATATTACTATTTCAATTTGAAGCGCAAAAGTTGTAAGCATTGTTAATTGCTTCTTGTTTCAGTCCGTATTCCAAGTGACCCCACTAACGGGTGAAGAATGGCTTACCGTTATGAAGTTCTCCATTCCAGTGGTACTTCTTGACGAAACCTTGAAGTTCGTTGCCAGAAAGATCACAGACGGTGAGAATCCAATTTACACCGTACATTGGATCGTTCTAATGTGGGCTGTGTTCTTTGGACTGTTGCATATCTGTCCCATATAGAACGTCCGTGAAATAATAATATTAGTCTAGCAAACGATGTTTTTTTCCTATGGAAAAGCATCCGCGACTAAATCCTTGGACTCGCAAATTGCATTTAACCGAAGCTCTTCCCACCGTGACGCGGGAAGGCGCGAGATAAGTTATTAACAAGAGTGCGTTCAAGTGAGATTTTAACAAAGTTTGACTGTGTGCATGGTGTTAGATCATGTAAAAAATATATGCCACCAAGGCCCACCATGCCCGCATCACACACCGTACCCTGACGTCGCTCAACGATCACGGGTTTCGAGTGGCATCGAGTGATCTAAGAGAGACCCCGTCGTAAATCAAAGATTGTGATCGTTAAATTATTTTCTACGAGTGCCTTTTGAACATTGAATTTCCTCTGCAACAAACACGAAACTGTTCATAGATGTTCTTTCCGATATAAATATTTTCGATATGTTCGACGTCCCCCCCAATCCTCCTCCCCTTATTGCACTTATTTATATTTTTTTTTATCCTCGTGCACGTTTCGGTACAATTAGCATTAGATAAATTATCTGGTAAACGTAGTAGATCCTGGCACTAACACAGTTGAGACCCGCATTAATTTATGCACGCCTTCCGTCTGTGTTTCTCGCCGATTAAATAATGTTACGACACGAACTTTTATATCTTTGCATGTTCGAAGCGTATTATTGATCTTGGTCGATTTTGAAAAGTACAAAGTAGTTCGCCCGCTAACCGTACCAAGGACAGTAATTTCGGTTTTTTCGGTGTAAACGAAAGCATTTGCGCGACGTATCATTTCCATAGAGTAATACGCACGTTTATACACAACGAGGACAATAAAGTATTCGGCAGAAACGCAGACGGAATGGACAGTAGTCAATAGTATTATATTTTTTTCCCTAATTTTATTTTCAGGCTCAGTTTAATGCACGCACGCGACAAATTAGCACAACATATTCGGTTAACGCGATTAACGTATAATCTCACTTACTAAAAATCTCTTTATATATACACTTACACTTTCTTTTTTGTTGCTTTCAATGTTGCTTGTTATAAATCACATTTATTAATGAATTCTTAGCGTCTGGTGTGCCTGCTTCTACTCTGAAGACAGAACTGGAGCTGTCTGAGCGTTTGCTGAAATTTCAAGGATATGCGAGGACTTCGCACTAACGGATCTCATTTTGTATCCTGCATACCGTGTCTTCCTTCCCGTAGAGATAATGCATGCACGGTATAATTAACACAGCACGTTTCGTAAGATCCCTTGTTGTAATCTATTCTTTTTTAATTCTACTCGTCCTCTGCTGTGCCACGCGATCAATTGATCATGTTCAACTTCTCCACACATTCATGTTAAGATACCGAGATGTTAAGGAGATTCTTAACATTTAAGCGGAAAAGTTTATTACTTTTATCGAATAATGCTTTTGTGAATTATTCACTTGTCGAGATTTTGCATCTGTAACGAACGCGACAAACGTTGGAAGTAAGATTTTGTAAATATCTACATATATTTTTTAGATTAGAGATATAGATAAAGTGAAACAGATTGTATCACAAAATTAGCGAGATTCATCGCGATTGGCATAGCAGAGAGTTTCCTCTTAATTTCTCGCATTGGTTTTCGCGAACACAACATCTGTTCCCCTATGTGTATAAAACCCGTATACGTGTGATTTATGCATTCGAAAGGTTTACGCAATGCAACAGATTCGCGTATCGCTAATTTCCGGATATGGACTGCAAAGGCTCGTAAGTGTAAGATAAGGCAAATCGTTAAGCAGAGGAAAATAGTTTACCTCATTACCTCTCTCTCGTACGCTCGAAACTGACGGGGCAGTCCATAGAGTTTTCTAGTGCGTTCGTTCATGTCAATATCTGAGCAGTGTTCCGAACGCAAATACACTCATCGTCGGGATTTGATTATCCGTTTTTCTCGATGATGATACCGAGTAGCTACAACTAATCGTAGAAACAATTGAACGACTCATAGACTTTTTAAAAATAAATTTTTCCTTGATGATGATATTTAATGATAGTTTAATGATAGGCCCATCTGTTTTCTAATCTTAGCTCCTTTTCTAGTTTTCTTTTTTAAACGCATAGAAGAATTATAGTTTGCTTTTGGATAGTTTTCAAATAAATTATTTAAAATAAATATTGAAAAATATTTATGATATGCGTGAACAACCTATAATTTGATAAACTGAGTCGGCGATAAAGAAATCTGAGGATTGATATGCCAAACGCATAGTGAACGGAAATTTGATTAGCGATTTTTTTTATATAAGTACAGAATTTCCTTAAGGATTGGCGACAATTCTGTTTCATTGAATTGAATCAATAATAGTTTTTATTAATAGGTCATTTGTCCACATGAGTTACGAGGGGATAAATGGGGACTTTCCCTATTTATTTTCTCACTTCCAATGTCTCAGATGATGATCGCCGATCCTCCGAGTTTTCGCATTGGGAGCAAATTTAGTCCCCCAATTAGTCGAGGATATTTCTCGATTGAGTGAACGCGAATTCGGTCACTGCCTTAGCCACATAACGAAACGAAATAATCGGTGTCGTCACGAGTACGTGGGCCTTCGATATATCTGGCTGTTTAGTCAGTTCATCCCTTGGAGCGTGTCCTGTCGGCGAAGGTCGACCGCTAATCAAGGAAGACTGAAATCGATAAAGTGCCAATAGAGAGACAGCAACTTCTCGATTCTTTCTTTCTCGTTTGATGACGTATAAAACCATCGTCTCTTGCGAAACGATATTTCTAACTTCGTCTGCCTGTTCGATCAGAAAGAAAAAAAGGAATAATCGGCAGGGAGGCAGGAAGCAGTATCGTCTCGTGTGAGACGGCGGGTTTAAGTGGGTTCGCGCTTCCGTCGGCAGTACACGATTCAAGGTGTCATCCAGAGATCTTCGTAGAGATGATCGTGATTCGGCCGTTCGCGATTCAGCGCGCGAAGCGCAGCGCAGCGCGCGAGGCGCTTCTCCGCAAAACACATGCAAACGCAACAAGACTGACGATGTGTTAACGGAGAGGAGCGGACGCGTCCGCTGCGTTTTCTTCTTTGTTTTTTTTTTCCTTCGGCGTGTGACGCATAATAATTTAATTGCGCCGCTTTCCGGCGCTTCAGGAATCGGCCGCGGTCGCGCGCGGCGCGACATTGTAATATAATTAATTAATTAATTAATTAGTTAACGGTTAAGGCGTGATACTTTGGTATGGGCATAATTAAAACTTAATCAGACCGAACGAGTTAGCGCTGCCGCACTAACGAACTTGTGTCTCGAGTAGTGTTTTGTTCCGCAGTTTAATTTTTAGCGCGAGATAAACCGGCTTTGCGTCCTGCGATCGACACCTGTGTCTCGCGATCTCCGCCCGTCGAACTCGTCAATGTCGAAAGAAAGCCAATTCGCGGATCAATTCCGCGACTCGGCAGCCAGATGAAAAATCATCGAGACGCGTACGCGATGTTCAATTATCGTCCGTGAAAAGGATCCATTTTCACAGTCCTACAGGCACGTTTCTCAGAGAAACGTTGACGTTAACTAAGATTTTCGAACATTGATCTTGAATGTCTTCAAATATAATCTCTCCGAGTCCCGAGGCGTAACTTGCCATTATCACGTTTACCAACTGTGGCGCAGAACAATGGATGCCATTGCTCGTTCGGATATTCAGACGCGCGGATCGGGTGATTGGCACGGGTTATCGGAGCACAGGTACGCGCGCGCGGGGATCAATGCCGGTGCGAAGAGTCTAATGCAGTTCTCTATGACGCTCAATAAGTTCGGCGAAATTAATCGGGATGTACGGATGCAAGACGGACCGGAGCGATGGATCTCGAAAAATCGTGCGAATTTCAACACCGAATTTCTTCAGCAAATCAGTTAAATTCGAGAGTCCGGCGATCGTTAAAGAGATCTGTATAATTGAGTTCAAGAGACAGAACGTTACTCTCCCTTTGTCGCGTTAAACGCGTTTACATTGCATTCGCGCGGTCTCTTCGGGACTCGTCGCTTGTCGCTCCCTCGCATCCGGATCCCCAACCTTCGTCCACGATGTATATGTAAGTACTTGAGTGTGCATTGTATTTTACGTTGACCGAGAATGACGGGGTAGTGCCATCACGACGAAAGTATACTGCGCGACGTCACGCAAATATCGATGCAATTGTTTGATCCAAAAAGTGCAATCCTAGCCATACTCCCATTAACACGTAACGCTACAAAAGGAAGAAACGATTCGTATATTTGTTGTATATCTCTTCGCATATTTGTATTTATTAATTTATTAGTAATTATTGTCGCATATAAAATGAATTTGTACGCGAGAGTTAATTAGCTCGGTAGACATTTCCCCATTGATCCTTGTGTGACGTTGACAATCAAAACGCGGTGTCCAGCGATGATGAGACTACGAACGCGTCGTTTCCTTCAGGAAGTACCTATTTCTCTAACGATAACGAATTAATATTAATATTAATAACTTATGGAATACTATGACATCGAGTGATTTCGAGTAATAAACTCGCCGCGGACGCGCGTCCGCGGCGGGAAGTTAGTCGGGAAATTATAATTCCGGTAATGCGAAACCAGATTTCTCGTAGAGACGGAAATATATAAAAAGTAATAGAAGGGAATATTAAGCAGAGAAATTGTATACACGAATCCGACTGTTGCGCGTGTTACGATCAAGTCTATGCATATACGATAAGTACAATTACGTTATCATGTAATTACCGGCGCGCCATCACCCTCCTCCCCCTTCTCCGGTGCTGGCGCTCGCAATTTGTTTTATTTATCGTCCGATTTGCCTTTGTCGTGTATTCAATTTGAGTTTCGTAACGGAGCGACAATTATAACAAGTGAGAGAATATGACGACGGAATGATATATAATGCATTACTTGTTATAATAAAAGAATCATGTGTTACTAATGCATTTCTCGATCCTCCGACGATTGGCCTACTAATCGAAGCAATAATTCTCCGCTTAAATTAAAATCCGTCAGCTATTGCCATCGAGGAAAAAAAAAAGAAGGAATCGAACACTTAATGCGACGCCGTCGTGATAGGCGTTCGGTTCATTTTGTCCCCACCTAAAACTACTTCAACTTTTTCGACTTTTTTTCTCTCTCGTTGTCTGTTATTCACCCCCACATTCCGAATGTTCATTGTAACCACAGCTGGCTTAAGACATTCAGACGTTGGCGGGCCAGAGTTACATGAGATTTAGAGCTACACGAGATTACCGAGTGTACATTTAAAATTCAGAAGGGAAATTAAATTTCTGTTTTATTCGTAATTTTTTTTCTCTTGTAAATAACGGAAAGTGAGATCCAAGTTTCGGCGAGGCGATATTTTTAGTTATTTATAGAATGACGGAATTATTTTTCAGCAACTGTTATTTGGCTCGAAAAACAAATTAATTCTAAAAAAACACATTGTATGGAAAAACATTTAGTATTTTAGTACAAAATAAAATTATCATGAACGGCCCATTTATTCAATGATTAAGGCAGCTCTCTGCTTGTATAACCCTTATTTTAATTTCTCGTTACTCTCCTACGGCGTAACAAGTCGAAAGGTTCACAAGGACTTTGGGGACCATCTTTGTACATCTCATCACCGTCGCGCTGTGTGCGTGGAGGCAAGATTTCGGAAAATAAAACACGCTACGTGATGCCGAAATTTCTCGACACAGCGCGTCCACAGCGACGAATCTTTTTATTATCTACTATATGGCTATATACTATATCTACTGTGGTGTCCCCTATCTTTCTCCCCCGGGCCCTTCTCGAAATTTGTTGTTTGAAGTTTTGCATGCGTTCACTGGAAAGAGACCGATGTGATAACTGTCGTGTCGACCTCGGAATGAGTTCTAAAGTCGAGGACACTGAAAACACTCGACACATCGCGCGATTTCGACACTCACCCCTCTTTTTGCTAACCCCCCCTGCCTGCTGGTGTGCCAAACTGTACAGTCACGGAGAGAGCGATCTTCGAGGGGCGACTACGGACACGCGACACGGACGACACAGGTAATGTTGAATTTGTTCAATTTTAAAACTAACGAGATTTAAGCATTTAGCTGTACGCGCTGTAACACGACACACACGCCGTCCACGAACTGCATTCCGCAAACGAGCGATTTAGCGGGTAGCAATTTCTTCCGTTTGGAGGAAACTGCGCTCTCTTTTTTGTCATGTAATGTGTTATAATTTGTTCATGTACATTCCGAAGAAAAGAAACTCAGGAAATTGTGAAATTTTCTCTGTTTTACAATGTGCGCATTTCAACTGCAAATGGAATTAATCTTCACTCTCTTTTTAACATCTCTTTCATAATTTATTATGTATTATACATATATATTATACACATTCCATTCCATTTGCCTACGATCTGTATATATAAATACCTTGTTCTTTAAGAATTGATCGTAATATATTTGCTTATTTGTACCGCACACAAACACACACACACGCTTGTTTTCACACGATGTGTCCCAGATATTAATACTTAATCTCTCCTCTCGCGATTAAGCGCGCTGCTCACCCCGCGCTGCGCTAACACCATCGCCATCGCCAAGGCTTGCATCGACTAGCAGCTGCATCCCGCTCCGTAGAGTTGGACGAGAGGCGCGTGGCTTGCCAGTAGCTGAGCCAGCGAGGGTGCCTTGGCGCGTGGTGAAATAATCGAAGTTACCCTCGTATGATTGCAGTGGCACTGCCGGTGACGCCGCCGAAATAAAGCTCGAGGGAAACGTAGGGCGAATCTGAGAGACACCTAATCGGCCGCAGCCGAGAAAAATCGGCGACCCACAGGCACACTACACTCTCGAGCTGCTCGAAGGGACTGGAGACGTCTTTACCTAACAGCCAAAAAAAAAAACTGAATATTTCCCGAGTGAAACCACAGAGTATATACCCCACCCTCCCACCGACATAACACACGCACCGCAATAAGCACCACCGGACCCACGCATGCATGTTGCACGCGCGCGACACGTTGACACGCGCAACGTACGTCTGCGTGGCGATCGGCATCCGCAAGATCGATGAGGAAAAGAGAGAACGAATGTACGAGTGTAGTTTTCACGGCGATCAGAGAGTATTAAACTGCGGCGGTCGCGTCAAGACCTCGTCCACCTTTGATTGATACTGTTGTATTATTACGCGCCAGTAGGTTTCTAACGATTGTCATGATTGTGATGATAAGTAAATAAGGATATTGATTTTGTTCGAATCACGTCGAGAAAGCTGTATTTCATTTCTATTCGTCACTGCTCCAGAAAGGGTAAAGCTGCTCGTAACAGCGCGGAGAAACGCGTTCGAACGCAATATTTTTCTTTTACAGAAAGAGATAGTTATGTTATAGGTATGTCGGTCAATCGACGTCGATTCAAAACTACAGCGATCTCGTGACCATTCCTCTTCACGAAGGAGATCCGTACATTCGTTCGAGGAAGTCGCACCCCCCCCC